TACATACAGGAACACTTTTTATCCCAAAAAGATAGTGACTGTCTTTCATTAACAAACGTTGTACTCAGTCTATAAACGCAGGAATCCCTTTACTCAGGGGTGCTCAAGCCCTGGCCCAGAGGCCAGATCCTGCCTGCAACACCGTGTCACAACTCCCCCACTGCCAAATTGCCAGACGCATTAGGAGCCCCAGGCCCTGAGCACTGGATTAAACACCCGATCCCAGCACGCAGGGCAGGGAGGGATGTTGCCAGATCCCAGGGCCAAATCCTGTTGTGCGGGGCCAGGTGGGAGCAGCGCCAGGCCCCAAAGACCCAATCCCAGTGGAAGGGGGTAGGAGGGGACAGTGCTGGGCCCCCAGGGACCTATCCCAGCACAAAGGGGCAGGGAGAGGGCAATGCTCAGCCCAGGGCCTGATCCTAGCACACAGGATTCATCTGGCCAGCAGACTGGACCGGCCTCATCCCAGTCATCTGGGCCATGAGACCAAAACGTTGACCACTCCTGCCTTTGCTCACTGCCGCAACACAAGGGCAGCAGTGCATAGGAAAACTGCACCATGCAAAATTACACGGTCAGACCATAGGTAGGACATGCACACACCCTGAGAAAAAGAGGCATGTTACAGAAAAACATGAGCATGGGGTGGGAGCAAAAGGCCCGTTTACAACCAGGGGACTCAGCGGGATATTAAAGGTGGGGGGTCCTGAGAAACTCAGTGTAGCCTGAAAGGTCACCACACACCTGAGCAAGGCATTGCCCTGAACATCTTAGGATAGTATCACGCGCTCACTTACAACCATTGAAAAATCACTGGACTGTTGTGGTATACTGAAGTTAATACATATTAGGGCACGTGTGGCCAACCTGCGGCTCCGGAGCCCCATGCAGCTCTTCAGAAGTTCATAGGCATCTCCTTGAATCTTTGCACAAGCACACAGTGACCAGCTTCCAGACGGATGGATGACCTGGCTCTACAAATGGAAGCTGGTCACCATGCGCTTGGGCAAAGATTCAAGGAGATGCATATTAACTTGTGCAAAGATTCAAGGAGATGCATATTATCTTTTGAAAAGCCGCACTTGGCTCTTGAGTGGCAGGTTGGCCACCCCTGTATGAGGAGATAACCCTCACCTAAAAGGGGGAGAGACCTCTCTACCTTAAACATCCCTTTCTAGACTTTTACCATCATATTCTAGAAGAAGCATCTAGCTGTCACGTGTTTCTTAGAAATGAAGGGTAAAAATTCCACTTTACCTCTCTGTGATTGCAGGTGTGGGAGCACTCATAACTTCTTGATGCAAGATATTCAAGCCACACAGCCATTTATCGGTATCTTCTTTAGAATCAGCTGAAAAAGATGAATATGTTATGAGGAACATTGACACCAAACAAAGACATAAAACTCTGATGTTCAGATAAGCCCCAGTGTATGAAACACAGTGGTTAACCAGCCCCTTTGACAATGTTACTTCAGAGTTATATGCTGCCAAGGAAATATTTAGTTAGTTTTCATAACTCTTTTTTTCCCCCCAAAAACGTCCTGCTGGACCTGTCAAATTGTCTCTTTTTAAAGGTTTGCTCGTCAGATCTTATGAAGATTCGTAGCTTCTGAGATGCTGCTGCTGACCTACCACTACACTCTCACTATGACATTTTTCTGTTTCAGTCTTCTGCTTCCAAAAGTGGCCAAAGCAGACACGAGAGCATCCTGGAGTCACCTTCTGCTACAGAACGAACATGGAACTTGTGGATGGTACAGATCCCATTGTGCTGGGCTCTAACTGTAGCCTTTGACACTTCTGCGTAACCTGTGAAATAAATTTTGCAAGCAAAGAACTGAGTCTAGTCTGCTATGATCACACCACTAAGAACTGATTACTCTGGACTGAGTTAATTGAACTGATTTATCTTGTATAAGGCGGCACACATTACAGGGTGAAAGAAGCACATCTTGCAGTTCCTCCTATCCTGCTGCAAAATGAAAGACCAGCTATTTGTTCCTTGACCACCTTGCAGCCAGTTGATCACGGGTTTATGTTTTCAAGATTACTTTTGTAAGGCAAAAGGTATGAGATCTGTCTTGTTGCAAAATGTTGGACTTGGTACTTCCAGTACCCACAAATCAGAAAGGACTGTTGCATTGGGCACTGAGATCCTCCTGGAGAAGGCTGAATTGCTGTATGCTGGAATCCACAGTGCCTGGGTGACACAGATTTGTATTAAAAGTAAGGGTGGTCTGTAAACTTCCTTTCCCCTCCCCTCATTTCAGAATAGGTAAAGCTTATGCAGCTCTCATCTGGAAAGCCCTAAATTACAGGTGTCAAACTTGTCTGGCCCTGCAAGTCAGATGAGCAATACAATATTGTCCACGGGCTGGATGAATGGAGCCAGAATGGCTCTGTGGACCCCCACCCCTTCCAGTCTGGGACCTGGTGGGAAGAGACCTGACACCCTAGGCACCTGGCTACTGCCACAGAAATAAGCCACGGTGTTGGGCCTCTTCCCGAAGAGCTGCTACAGCTGTGAAGGTCCCCATCCTCCCCACCTCCCCCCGTTAGGCTATAAGCTGGATGACATGGCTCTACAAGCTGATCTGGGCCGCAGATCATATGTTTGACATCCCTGCCCTAAAGCATTCAGTTCTGACATCAAAGCTTTTCTTTACCCGACCGAAACAATTTCCCTCCCAACTGGTTTCCCACCCGCATCTCCAATTCAAGCCATCTGCGCAACATCCTGCAAAACAAAAATGGTCTCTCCAAAGATGCAAGGCTATATAAGTTAAAAATATACTTTTAAACAATACTGTGTCCCCCGGGACCCCGGCTAGAGCCTGGCTACAGATCCCGGTGGAACTCGCTCACAATTAGTTACGTTTTGGAGAGGAATGGGCACCACCCAGTGCTGATCTAATTGTTCCCTGAAGGCAATTTTGCCCTGAAAAAAGTTAAACTTTTCCCCCTTCAGTAACAGTTACTCTGTATTGTTCTAAGAAACCAAGACAAAGTGTTTTAAAAAAGGAAAGGATTTCCCCCTCATTGAAAATCACATTAGTCAAGTTGGGCTATGATTTAGTGTTATGGCAACATAGCTCCTGGTACAGGGCATGTTTTCAAAACAGTGGCAAAGGTTAGTTTTTGACAACAGCAAGAAAGGGAGAAAAAACAGCAGCCTTCAGTGTGGTTGGCACATTTATATTTAAAACGTGCCAACCACACTGCATGTTCTGAGTCTCCAGGAATAGGTTGGACTTCACCTCTCAACTAAAACATCAAAATGTGCTACTTGGGACCAAACTAATCACAAGAAACCTCTTTCCAGCCCCCAAGATCATGCACACCATTTACAACCCCCCCCCGCATGCGCACGCGCACGCACACACACACACACACACACACACACACACACAGTTTAGTGCAACAGTGTACATGCAATTAGTTCAAGCATATAAATATGGCATTTGCTTACACTATTGAGAAAGTGCATCAACTACGAAGCACCTCAATTTTACATTAAAAAAGCACCGCTCACTTCTCTGCTCTGCTGGGAACTTCTTTTTTAAATGACTTGAACTTATTGCAGCTTTGCAAAGGGAGGCAGTGCTCCAGAATGGGACTCTACTGGCTTCAACAAACGTGGAAGCAAGAAAATTACTGCACTACATCAGACCATTGGTCCACATAGTCCTGTACAAAGGAAGGTTCAAGTATGCTTCATCATTAGAGATGTTTCTCTCTCTTCTCTTATTTAAATAACCCTTTTTGGCAATTCGGGACAATCTCATTTTCCATTAAAAATAGCCGATTCTAGTTTGAATCTTTCCAAGCTCCTGGCTTCACAGCTCTCCTGAAGCAAAGAGACTTGGGTTGTGTAAAAAAGTCTCTTCTTTAATTAGTTTTTGATTCACTACCTTTCAATGATTAATATTTCTTTGTTCCTATAGATGAGACTTAGTAAGTCAAGTGACATATGCCGGCCTACCATGACACCTCAACCTGTAGCTCATCTGTTATTCTAGTCCTTGCACTTTCCTAAGTAGAGAGACATTTTCTGTCGCATGGAAGTTTTTGTGATTTGGCCACACCGAGAAAAGTCATAGCTGTAGCTCCAGCAGTCAGTGTTACCTATGACCCACACTAGATTGAAACTCAGGGGTGAAATCCTGGCTAGCCTCCCCCAGTGTCAATGCCAAAACTTCCAGTCCCTTTAACGGAGATAATCTTGCATGCGGTATCTTCAGTGTTGAAAGTCTCAGCTGAGATAATTAACCAGAAAGGGTTTACACATAAAGAAAAAATGCTAACAGTGTGTCTACACATTTTTGTGAATATTTGAGAGGCCTTGGGAAGCTGCAAGCACAAAGAAGCGGGTTATTAAAAATATATCCAGAGGCTACTACTTATTTTTTGCTATATATATTGCTTTCAGACAACCTGTCTTGCATCAACTGGCAGGCATTTCATCATTCCAGAACATACAGAGACAAATGTCAGGAGGAGCAAAAGGCTGATTGCCACAATGCAGACGTCTGAAATGACCGCTTCATAAACTAAGCAAAATGATCAGTTCAGACAACACAAGAGAAGACTCCGTACCAGCTATTTTAAAACTTAAAGTACAGACGCTGCCATTCAAGGACATTAGTGGCAGCAAGGGTAAAAGCATTCTTTCTGGCTTTAAACACTAAGCAAATACTAGGAACACCATAAACTTTGCATTACTGGTCCATCTTTGCATTATGTTCCTAGTCCGCAGAGTTCATTGTCTATGAAACAAAAAGAAAAGACTTACCTGCTAAGCTTAATGTGCAGAGAACAAATTGGGTACCATAAAAAATTGTGAAGCAATGTTCATCTTTCTGCTTTGCTTTCCCACGCTCAAAGTCCTTTGAATTTTTCCCTGGGCGAATTTCCTTTATTTCCATCAAATCCACTGAAAAGAAAGAGAATGCGAGTCACTGCACACTGTACTTGCATCATCCCAAAAGAACCCATTGCAGGAGGACAAATGAGTATTACATGATTTATTATTATTATTCAGATCATATTAACTGTAGATTACAAGTTTCACAATTCTCCAATTTGGAGCACACAACTCTTGTGAGATCATCTAAACAAGCTAATAAAGGTGCCACGCAGGTCAGGCCAGGGGGGTGGGAAAGGGAACAGGAATATGACTTCTTTGCCAAAACTTATGTGACCACTATTGTCTCTACTGGATAACTTCTATCCAAAACCTGGAACGTCAACAGCTGTTCAAGCAGTTTTATGAGTGGCATTTGCCTCGATAACTGATCCACGATACATGTCACCAACTCCACCATGAAAACTTAAACGTTTCGAGCAAACCTACACTCTGACAGTTCAGCCATTTTTTCGCTAAGCTTCTATGTAACCATTAAGACACATATCAACCCCTCTCTGCTTAAATCCAAACAGATCTCAGTACTCGAGTGTAACCTTTATTGTGATATTACTTGTATTACTTCCCAAAAAAGAGCACAGATTCACTTTCAGGAATCGTGAAATGGAAACGCTGCTCGGATGCACGTTGTGGAGTCAGTTCTGGACAAGTCCTCATGCGTTACTCTACAAGTCTGCATAATAGTTGAGGCAGCACTGAAATAGAAATATGTGCGTTTGTACGATAAGATACTTATTAGAAAACTGAGGAAGTGGTTTTATTCTTCCTGGACTGGACAGAAGCCTACATGGCTCTTCCTACTTTTGACAGGTCAAAAGCTATTGGTTACAAGATGAAGAGTGAGGGGCGGGGAAAAAACTGCACAGCTGCTCTCGAAGTGTGTATATCAGATCATAAAGCATCAGAGGAAAGTGGCTGGGGGGTTCTGCAATTCAGTGATCTGTACAATGTATTTTAAGATGACCATTTTGGTGCTAGTAGATGGTGGCTTAAAAAGCACAGTGAGAAATTAATTAAAGTTTTAACAGAGGAAAGGCTACTCCCACACCACCCTTTTTCTTTTTTTTTTTTCCTTAAAGCTGCGATATGTGGAGTGATGAATTTGTATGTGGTTTGAGTTTTCAGGCTGGGAGTGCAAGGGGTTTTATCAGCAAAGCTTGGAGAATGCAATATTTCCACACCTAGGAATGCCTTGCGCTCTGCCCGTTACCCCAGGCCAAACGTATCCCTGCATTTGGTAGTGTTTATTCCGACGGATGAAGGGACCTTCCCAGCTCCTAGAAGAGGCAGAGCCTAGCTGTGAAGTGCTGCACAGCATAGTAGAGCAAACCCGTAGTTCCTGACCCAAGCAGAATGCTTATTCCTTCGGTAGAGCTTTCTCCAAAAGAAAGCTGCTGCACCCTCGCAACCTTTCTGCTCTCTCGCATATGAATAACCTGGGGAATATCATCCTCCAAGATTTGCAGACTTGGATGCCTAGCTATGCAGCCAGTATTTTGGAAATGCCCCCCTACATGCCAGAATGAATGATCTCCCATCTGGCATCAACGGCAGAAAGGCAAGCAAGCCTGTGGCAGAGCACTTCAACCTCCCTGTTCTCAGGCAGCAAACCTCTAGAAACCAATTTAAAAGGGGAAATTGAGGAACAAGAAAACACCCACAGACTGGATTGGGTTAAGTACAGTTTAAATAGGGCCAGCATATTCTTTTCCCAGGACCTGGGTTTGTTTCTGTGACTCCTTTGTTCCCAAGCTTTATTGCCTGCATGTTTGCTCCTGCCCCTCCCTCCCCTCTCTCCATCCCTACCTTCTGTTTTCCTATTCAAATGTCTCTCTCCTTTTTACAGAACTTTATGACATGAACTTCAGCCCACAAAAGCTTGTTGTACATCTACTTTAGTTAGTTTATAAGGAAAAAACGACCCTGTCTTTTACTTGACTTCAGTCTAACACAGTTAACTATGTCTTAACACCCAGCACCCAACAACTCCTAGTGACCGCTCAGCCCTCTGACAATCCAACACCTAGCTTCGGTCCTCCAGCCACGTTTAGGTCCTCATCCTGAAATACCCACGTCCAGAAACACTGGTCTCACTTTCCAAGCCTATCACATTTTGGCAGAGACAAGTCAAAATGTGTAACTTGGATCTCATTGAAAAGTAAGGCAATGGGGAAGCATTCATCTGACTTCCTATATCCTTACAGGGTGTTGAACACCCTCCCCTAAGACCTACAGCAGAGATAAAAATAAAGTTACACAAGGCTAATTGTTGTTGCCATTTTGAGTGACTATTACCTCATACTGACCTCTACAACAGACACAAAATTGCTTAATGTGTTCTCTCCATTACACACACACACACACACACACACACACACACACACTACTTCCTTTCTCTGCATACCCTTTCACCCTTTCCTCCTTGTGCTCTCGATGCATGTGCGTGCATGTGTGCTGGGATGGACTACGGGTTTTATTGCAATGACTCTGTTTTAAATGTGTTCGTGGTTGTAATAAGCTTGCGTGCCTCATTTTACCCTAACTTGCTGGTACACAGGGAAAGGAAGTCCCAGAGCTCCCTATGGACAAGACAAGCAACAAAGGAAAAGAATAGCTATTTATAGATATTTCAAGAATAGATATTTTCAACAAGGTGGGTCTAGAAGTGACACCCAAGAGGTCCAGAGGAGGAGGGGCAGATATGCTTGACGACAAAGAAAGAAGCTGGAAAAAGCAGGGTTTCTGCTGGGGAGCTAGAGGCTGAAGCAAGGGAACATCTGGGGTATTTGGGGGTGTGCAGACTGGAGAGAGCATAGCTGAGCTAACTGTAGGGGTACTCAAGGGGATAGCGTTGGGGCAGAGAATGCTTACCCCTTTGGAGGCAGGAAGGGTCTTCTTGCTGTCTGTTTTGCTACTTGCATCTTGGGATGTACTCTTTTCCCTTTGGTGAGCTAACATCCCTTTCTCAGGAGCTGAACCAGATGCTGGCTCCCCGAGGAAGGTTGTAGACAGCCAGGGAGGGTCAGGGACGGAAAGGCTAGGGTTCGGGGCTGCACACCCAGGAGTTCTGCACGCAGCAGGCACATGCATGGATTGGCTTGGCCACAGGTAGCCTAACTAAGTCCCACTGAAGGCAAAGGAAGCAAGAACAATCAGGCCCCAAATGCTTACAACTGCAGACTCCCTATTAACCATAAAGCAGTACTTAAAACCAAATGACTTGTGCACAGCCCAAGGAAACATGTCAACCTCAAAAAGAACCACATAAGGCAACAGACTGAAACCCAAGAAAGAGAGGACTTCCATTTAGTCTAGCCAGCCTCATGCCAGTCTGGAAAGCCAAAACCCCAAAGCCATTTTCAGGCTTCTGGTTTATGGATCACCCAGTCTTTTATGACGTTATTTCTGTGGGGTTCAAGGGATTACTTTGGCAAGCAAGGTATCCTCTTGATTCTGACAACTCACTTAAGTGGCTGCTCAACGGGATTGGAGCCGGAAGGACCTTCATTTACCATGCTATTTCAGGATCGGAGCTGGACGTGCGGTATAGTGGTCTGGGAAAGTGGCTAAGAGCCAGGAATTTCCAGATTCCAACCCCAGCTCTACCCGGGAGTTGTACGGTCTAGGGGAAGCCAGCAAATGTCTACACTTCATTTCACTACAGCTGCAGAGGTGCCACCTGGATTATCTGCATATCTCCCAAAGCTCTACCATAGCAGGGCATATATTGATTGCCCTAAATTTAGGCATAAAACTTCTGACCGCTTTATTTCTTCTCCCCCGAGTGGCTAAGCAAAAAAATGCTTAAATAGATTGAGGACTGCAACTGGAAAGGAAAAGACACAATAAGAACGTGCATTAGAAAGAGACAGCTGTGACCTGGCTAACAGGCCCCAAGTCTGATAGACTTACTTATTTCCATCTATAATAAGATGAACTTCAAACACCACTTGGAAGCTGCATATGCAGTTATAGTCAGTAGACTCATGGTAGAAGAGGGTCTTAAAAGAGGATTTAAAGGAGCAGAGTTGTGGTTTTCTGGACTCTTTCACAGAGTTCTCCTTTTGTAGAAAATATTGGCTAAAATGAATATGCAAACAGACTCTTGAATGACCTGGATTTTTTAAAACTTGGGTTTTAGCAAAGCACAGAAGCAGGCAGTCCGTCACACGGCTAAATTGTCCACGTGACTATCGAAATAGAGCCCAGCCTGTCTTCCGAGTTGTACTGTCTCACATCTGGAGCCTTTGTAACTGTGTCTGAAATAATTTTGCCGCTTATAATCTTTGATAGGTCCACTAGACCACAGTGTCTCTCGTTAGATTTTACCGTCCTTATGAGTCAAGCTGTCCTCCACGCTGCACCTAGAGTGTGGTTTGTAAGATTTCAGAGGTGTCTGCAGTTCCCAAGGTGACTATGCATTTTCAGTCTGTGAGCAACGCCACCACCCTGCGCTCTGCGCACCACGCACCACACTAATATCCAGGTTTCAAAGAAGGACACAATAGCTCCCATTGTCAGCCACGTTTGATAGTTAAATCACAGATTCTGCAAAACTCGAACCAGGCGACTGTCATCACTAACCACACCAGAGTCTATTTGCAAAAGGGAACTGAGGGCTTTTTAACTCTTCATCCAATGGGGAACACCTGCACCCTTTCCTACATTGCGAGATTATGCACGTCTCGTGTCAGATCAGGTTTCTCTCTCTCTCCAAAACAGCAACTGCCTCTGAAAAATTTTGTAATGCAAATGACCAAACATTTTTTTTTTTTTGAAAAACAGTTCTCAAATGCATGCAAATGATGCTGGCTGCAAGCAAAACCATCCTTTGTTTGTAGAGGGTCAATCTAAGCACAAACTTTTTTCTTTTGGTCTGTCTACACCACTGAAGTTCCTGGACCGACCTTTTCTCCCCCATGTAAATATTGCCACGACCTCCCCACTGGCTCTCCTCCACCTGGGTCAGTGTTTCAAAATACTGCTCCTAACACAAACCACCCTGACTT